GCGCGGGGCATCGCCGACCTGCTGTCGGGCGGCCGCGTGCGGCGGGGGAGACACGCCGAGCCAGTCCAGCCCCGGGGGGGAAGTTGCGATAAAAGCGCACACGAGCACGGTGTGAAATTAAGGCTTGCCGTTGCTCTCACAACGCACCGTGCCATTTCTAACCGTGATCGATTCACTGACGTGTGTCTGGACACGTCCCACGTCCCCGCCTGCTCCGTTACGCCTGTTGCTTACATCCAGTGACTTTTTTTTTCTCTCTTTTTTTGGTGTTTTTTTCCCATTCTAGAGAGAAGGCTTGTCCAGGTTCAACAAGATCTACGAATACGACTATCATCTGTTTGGCCAGGTAGCGATTCCAACTTCTTTGATAACTTTCCTGATCCCGGGAAAACGCAAGAGGCGGATGGATTATCTAAAGAACGATCACCGAAGAATTATTGCCGATTAAAAAGGATTTGGCTGGTCAAATGGGCCAAATCGCTGTGAAATACAGATGTCAACTTTTCACTTGGAGCGCACAGAAAACATGCTGTTTTCATGGTCAGTGTTGCGTAGTCTTCATCTCCTGTAAAAACAGCGTGTTTCAGTGGGAACGGCGTGGATTTCGTGCCTGCCTGTGCCACAAACCCTCTGTGTGGCTTTAAGTCACTTTCGCCTGCTGTGCTTTCATTTTTCATCTGTAAAATAACATGCTGAGATCAGCAGATGAGCAGCTCTGTGTTACTTAGACGTTCAAAGTTCCCAGGTCAGACAAAACAACGTATTCCTAGTACTTACGTGGGGCTCGACGGGAGAAATACGATTATGCCAATAGAAGCAGAGCTGCCTAGAAACGGTGCAGCTGCATCTGATGAGGATCGTGTCCGGAGACGGTAGGAGCTGTTGTAAACAGCTCGTAGCAAGGGAGAAGGAAATGTTAAGCGCTAATTATCTTAATCTGTTTCTTGCAGAATGTTACTATGGTGATGACATCTGTTTCAGGCCATTTGCTGAGTCATGAGTTTAAGACGGCATTTCGCAAATGGTTAGTGTCCCTAATCACAGAGACCAGCTATTCGTCTGCCTGCTTTTTCTGCTTTTAATGCTGAGAGGCAGTGCAGTGACGGTTTGAAAATCGGGCTCAGAAACAGTGTATGATCATTAATTTTGTAATGCACTGGCTAACGTGTGTGCGCTTGTGGCTGGATGGAATCGGAGCTGTGTCTCGGAGGTCATGTGTTGTGGACGTTAGACTGTCCCCCAAGTCGTGTCCTACCCTGTAGAGGATCTCTGCTGGAATTCTCTTCTCTTAAGTATTGTTCCCAAAGTCTTTGCCGTCATGCATATTTGCAAGTGTGGAAGGAGTAAAAACGTTTAACCTCTGCAACACCATCTCTGCAACCTGGGAGCGGATTCTTTTTAATCTGTTAGCTTTCCGCTGGGGACTTGAACCACTGAGGTTCTATAATTAGCCTGGTGTATTCCCATTCTGTCCAAGTCGGTGCTGTCGATTTACCAGTATTTTATTTGACCAGCTGTATAGTTGGAGAGCTTTGGAAAAGCTTTTTGGGCATCAAGTGTTCTTCCTCAGGTCTTTTGTCCTTTCCTCATGCCTGAAAACTTGTCCAAAGGCTCTCCGAACTATACAGTCGGTCCAGTAAAAGATACCACAAAAAATCCTTGGCTTTTGTACATTTCCTGGTCCATCATGGCTACAACACTGCAGCCTTCTAAAATCTCTGTATCACTTTCAAGAAGTGACTAAATGGGCCATATTACATCTTACTTTCTTGAAATATTTTGCCAAAAACAAAAGGGCAAGTTTTATTATAGTAAAACTTTGTTCTTATTGATAACCCGTAAATCTAATTAAAAGTATTAGCGCGTATTTCTCTGTTAGCTTCTGATAGTTTAAGATGAAGACAGTAATGTTGCAGCTGAAATCATCATTCTTCAGTAGTATATTAGTGAGACAGAGAGAGAGAGCATGCTCCATTAAGTGTCTTGCTTTTTCTGCTTTAGTTCCTTTTGTCTGTTAATCCTTGCTGTTTATCATCCATTCATCAGGCATAGCTGCAACCCCCTGGTGCTCTTTGATGCTGAGATTGAGAAATACTGCCCTGAAAACTACATGGATATTAAGGTACAAAGTTCCCTGCCTTCTAAAAAGTTTCCTGCTACACAGAATTCAGAGGCTGGCTCCCCAAGTATTGGTGCAGGCAGAGAATGGACTGGACTTTTGTCCATACCCTTTAGTTCTCCAGGACTTTAGCCAATATCAGTATTTTCACTTACATTTTTCAGTCTGTGTGCACACTAGCTACCTTTAGAATTAAAGTATCTGCTCGTAGAGCAGGGAAGATGGTAGGAAAACAGGACCAGAGCAGAATTCCTTATTGTTATAAAGATATAAATGGTCCCATTGTGTTGAACAATCCCATTTTTAAAAAAAATCATGCTAAAGGACACGGTCCAAATTCAGATTGTGATTTTTGAGGAATGAATGAACAAAAATGAGTGCTTATGGCAAGAGTCAACTTTATTTTTAGCCGACTAACCAGATACAAATGCTGTCTTTGGAAAGGTCCCAGGAGAATTGTTACTCCAGTGTTTCTTAAAACCAGCAATCTTTCTTAAAATCAACAAAACCACATGTTTTATGTTTGTATAATTACTAGGGATCTGGGTTTTCCATTCACTACAGAAAAATGCAGATTTTTCTTTTTAAGGAGAAAAACTTAGGATAAGGAGAAAACTTAGGGTTTCCCCTTGCAGTCTGGCAGTGTTCCAGCCTGCAAGAGGCTGGGGGGAGTGGGAGGAGGGTGATCAGGCAAGGGGTGCCACTTGCATGTCTCTCGGAGAAGGAGATGTTGGGGGGCACATGACTCCAGATTTGTGTATGGGGCAGATGTGACAGTGGCATGGGCAGTGTGGGGTGAGGCACTGGCATACCGGGGCTGCTCAGCACCACAAAGGGGGCAGGGGGAGCTCTGATTTTTTTTTTTTTTTTTTTTTTTTTCCCCAAAAAGAAAACAAAAATCAAACACTAAACTATATAGGTATTTAGAATTTATCTTATAATGACTGAGGCACTGGTAGGCTTCCAAATGTCTTTAAAACTGTAAATCTATCAATAAAACATTGTGTTCAACCGAGATATAGTGGTGTTTCATTTTAATTACGGAAAAATGTGGATTTTGGGGATTTTAATCAGAGAATTTGCCATTTTTAAAAGGGAAAATCAGGATCCCTGATATCATTTAATTAGCTGAGTAAGAATTAGCAAGATTTATGCATACAAACCCAGCAGCAAATTATATTGAAAACTTGCAGCATAACTAATGCAGGTAATTTCTGATGCATACGGTACAGGAACTACGTGGATGACTGGTCCACTCCATCTCTGTGAGCAGTAAGGCTCAATAACAAACATATCAACACTTGGAGGAATGGGTTATGGTGTCTACTGCTGAAAGCGTGATTACAGCTATCTTCTATTGCAAACATATTGCTATGGGTATATCTTCCATTCAAGATCCACTTAGACTGTTGGCATTATTGGTGATTCACCTCCAAGTTAAATTAGATGCTACAGTAAGCCACTTACCATGTCTTATGCTTTTGTCTCATCCCAGCGGACCCTAGAACGAGAAGTCAGGCAATGCCAGGCTCTGATGATCTGGACTGATTGTGATCGAGAAGGAGAGAACATTGGCTTTGAGATCATCCAGGTCTGCAAAGCTGGTAGGTGGAAGTCTTGCCATCAGGCTGACTTTCTTTAAAATGGAGACTAAAAAGCTAGCCCTGGACTGCTGCTTGAAGGCTATCACTGTGTCCAAGTAGAATACTCTGGTTGTGCTTTTGCATGTACCATGGGCATGTTCATGTAACATGACCCTCCAGAACAGGCCACTAGCTGCAGGGCACTTCTGAATCCCAAAGCATGAGCTTCTATCACCCAAACCAAAGATCCACATGGCTGTAGCTGATCTGTAAACCTCTTTGCATGTTTGGCAGCCACAAACAGGAGTCTTGGTGGAGGCTGGACATCAGGTCTGGTGGCAGAGCAGCACTGTGAAGGTTGCCTTTTTTGGCTGCCCAATATGTTTAATGTTGCCAAAGCCCAAACGTATGCTTAAAGACTTTTCTGTGTTGCCAGAACCTATGCTCTGGGTGAGAGAGCTCTCCACGCTTTGTAATGGCATTGGGCAGCAAAGGTAGGGCTGGCTGGAAAACAGGAATTCCGTGTCACAATAAAGGGATGCCTTTGAATTGTTTTTTGTCCTGCATTAGAGCAAATATGAGACCTTTCAAAAACTTTCCACATATAAATGTGTAAATAAAAAGGCTATTCTTGGGGAGAAGGGTTAGGGGTGGGGGCTCTTTCTCTATCCAGAAATTCCCCCTTGGATCAGAGAAATCATTTTAACAAATCAGCATTTTCTGGCCAAAAAAACCCTTTCAGTCAAAATTCCTGGTGAGCTCTCGTCAGACATGAACTGATTGCTTTCTCAGCTATGTTGTGCACACAGCTTTCTGGCCATGCAGTTAAGACCCATGCAGATTTCCTTGATTGTCATTGAGCCCATTCACTTCTCAAATAATGTCAAGGAGTTAATGGGGGACCATGAATATACTCAAAGTAAAATGATTTCTTAAGAGGAACTTTTTTGTTTCTTCCCTCTTCAAGTAATCATTTCCTCTGTCCTTGTTCCACTGCCAGAGCTGTTGCGAGCATTTTTCCATTTGTGCCATAATGACTTTAGGCCTTCAGCCAAAACTAATTAAGAGGCACAAACTGAAACTGGCTCTGCATGATGGTCTCAGTGGGAACTATCTCTGGATCTTTGACTGGCAAGATGTAAAAGTGGTGCAGACTTGCTAGATTAGTATCTCTCTTGAATTACAAGAATGACAAATGTAAAGATTACTGGGACATCATAACATGTCAGTGCTTTGAAAGAGACTATTTTTGGACCCTAGATCAGTCTATAAACATTGCAGAGCTGGCATTAATGAAGGGGCCCCTTTGCACACTTATACTATTTTTGGACCTACCACAAAGTGGTACAAGAGTAAACACTCAAACTGCTGCTTTTTACTGGGCTATGAATAATTTTTCAATCTATCTCCTTAATGGACAGTTAAGCCAAGCCTTCAGGTGTTCCGAGCCCGCTTTTCTGAGATCACACCGCATGCTGTTCGAGTTGCCTGTGAAAACCTCACCCAGCCTGATCAGAACACTAGTGATGCTGTCGATGTCAGACAGGAGCTGGATCTCAGAATAGGTGTGTGGGTATGAAGCAGGGCTTGGGTAGCAGGTTTTGAAGGTTGTGGGCGTGTGAACAACTTACACATGAACTTAGTAGCAGACTTGGACTATGTAAACATCTCCTTAAAGGAAAGCTAGAATTTTACGGTGCATAAATAGAGGAGGTGATGTTCAGGACTGCTCTTTGCTTTGCCATACCTGTTTAGCTCAAAAAAGTGATTAAATCATTTGAATTCCTTCAGACTACAGCATAAGAAAGGGAGCCTACCACCAGGCTTTCCCTGCATAAAGAGCTGGCACTGACATCATGTTGCTCAGGCTCCCATGGCACAGTAGGTGGTGGTGCATCAAAGCCAGATGTCCACACTTCCCTGTGACTTGAGGCAAAAATGCAAAATTGGGTGGCAGGTTTTTAGATCACGGATGAATAAATGGATCATGTCTTCAGCTGCTTTATTAGAATCCCTGTGGTTGGTTTTGAAGGAAGTGGTTGGTTCTTTAGTATTCCTGTGATACTGACTGGGCTTTTGCTGTTTTTGCAATGGTTGAATCTTGAAGCAGTGTAATTATTTTCTAAAATTACAATGTTCTAGTTCTGAGATCCCTTTTGTTCCCTTCCAGGTGCTGCCTTCACCAGATTCCAGACCCTGAGGCTCTCCAGAATCTTCCCTGATGTTCTGGCAGAGCTTTTAATTAGCTATTGTAGCTGCCAGTTCCCAACTCTGGGATTTGTGGTAGAAAGGTTTAAAGCCATACAGGCTTTTGTTCCTGAAACCTTCTATAAAATAAAAGGTAAATTCTGAATACCAGTGACAGGCTTTTGCTGTCTAGCACAGCTCAGCACTTTCCAAAGAGAAAGAGAGCATGAGTTTTCCTGTAAGATAAGAATTGGAAATGCTTTTGTGTAATACAAAAACATTGCTATTTTTCTCTCTTGCTTTGTCCCAGTTGCCCATGTTCCCCTTTCTTTCCTTGTCAACTTGGAGCAATTCTGCTATGTACATCTCTGACATGGCATCTGGTTTTTCCATGCAGTGACTCACAAACGTGAGGATGCCATTGTGGACTTCAGCTGGAAGAGGAATCGACTCTTTAACCACACAGCATGCCTTGTCCTCTACCAGATGTGTATGGAGGTAAGAAAACATAACTGACCCTGAACCGTGGGGTTTGGTAAGTATTTCTAGCACCCTTTCCAGCTGACACATTTTTAGTAGCTCTCCATTTAGACGCTTCAGCGTGGTTTTCCCTTCTGCTCATGTTGTCTGCAGGATCCAGTAGCCACTGTAGTCATGATTGGTAGCAAACCAAAAAGCAAGTGGAGGCCCCTGCCTCTGGACACAGTGGTATGTCTGATACGATCATATTAAAAAGACTTTTTTGAAATGAGCTCTGACTGTGGGCTCCAGTGACTGTTCATATTCATGCTGTACATTCTCATGTTCTTATCTGTCTCATTGTGGCACAGGAACTGGAGAAGCTGGCATCCCGCAAACTGAAAATAAATGCCAAAGAGACCATGAGAGTGGCAGAAAAGCTCTATACTCAAGGGTGGGTCTCCCAGAACTTGCTGTGCTAGCTTATTAGAAAGAATGAAATGTCTTTAAAAAGTGTGGGATCCCATGAGTGATTGTCATCAGATGTACATATTCCCTCTTGTCTTACAGGTACATAAGCTACCCCCGAACTGAGACCAACATGTTCCCCAAAGAATTAAGCCTGTCTGCACTGGTACAGCAGCAGACCCAAGATCCACACTGGGGAGCTTTTGCACAAAGGATTCTAGACCAGGGTGGGCCAACACCTAGGAATGGTTCCAAAACCGATCAGGCTCACCCCCCCATTCACCCCACCAAATACACCTGTAACCTGCAGGTGAGTCTAACACGGGGCAGGGCTGACTAGTGTTCTTACTTATGCTATCAACTGTACTTCTCAGTAGTGCTGGTTGAATGCGAGTTCACAGGTCCTGGTGTGCATTCATTAGCAGGTGGTATTCAAATACCTGTATCTCTAGTGTGCGTGTTTCAGCTGAAGTTCCTTTCTGAAATATGTTGCCTTAGTAATAAGGCAAACAAAATGTGATAATCTAAGTTAGAAATTTGGAGCAAGGGAGGTTTAGGTTGGATATTCAGAAAAACTCTCTCACTAGGAGGGTGGTGAAGCACTGGAACAGGTTACCTAGAGAGGTGGTGGAGTCTCTTGCGTTTCAGTCTGCTACACAGGAAACGCGGGTTCTTTTCCCAGATGCTTATACAACTATAGCCATGGAGGCGCCAAATGTCTGGACTCAGTCTGGCTGTTGGATTCTGTCTTAGTGGCCTAAAGCAGGGATGGAAGGTCTTGGGCAGCCTCCACTCCTCCAAACCTTCTGCCTAGGCATATGTGCCAAAGGTCTGTGTGACCACACACACACACACCCACCATGATCTGGAAGGATTGACCGTAGCCAAACCAAGAGAGATGGTAGAATCTCCATCCTTGGAGGCTTTTAAGCTGTGGCTCAACAAAGCCCTGGCTGGGATGATTTAGTTGGGGCTTATCCTGCTTTGCGTAGGGGGTTGGACTAGATGACCTCCTGAGATCCCTTCTGACCCTAATTTTCTATGATTCTAAATCCATGCATCCTGTCACTTAAGTGTGTTGACTTATAGTGAGATGTTCAGTTATAGTTCCCTTGTTTATCCTATTTATCCTATTGGCTGCCGCTAGAACACTTTCTCCTTGGTCTTAGACAAGAAGAAATGCTGCCTTTCGTTGTACCAGACATTTTTCTTCTTGCAGTTCCTTTTAAACTAATCCACTCATGTCTCTATAGCAAGTCCTGACCTAAAACATCCAAGTAAGGCATGCCAGTGATTTGGAATCTAAAGCGTCTTAGGCAGAGATCTTCGAGGGCTTTGGAGTAGAAGGACTTCTAGGGATGTATTTTACAGATGGGGAATTAAGGCACAAAGGTCAAATAGCTTGCCTTTGTCAGCAGTGAAGCATGGATCTGTGTCTTTTGGTTCTGACCTGCACTCCCTGTGAGTTCCTGCATCTCCCTTTTGTTGCCAAGAATCCCAGATTCAGTAATGTTGTAAGACTGAAATACCTTGATCTCTAACAAAAAAAAAAAAAAAAAGCACCATTCTGGTTTTCTTCGTGTTTTAACTGGGGGAACTCTCTGTCCTTTTCTTTCAATGTCTGGTATTAGGGGAACGAGCAGAGACTGTATGAATTCATCGTACGTCATTTCTTGGCTTGCTGCTCTCAAGATGCCAAAGGACAGGAAACCACTGTAGAGATTGATATTGCCAATGAGCGGTTTATTGCTCAAGGGCTAATGATCCTTGCCAGAAACTACCTGGATGTGTACCCATACGACAAGTGGAGTGACAAGGTAATGCCCTTGAGCAAAGAACATATATGATGTTAAATTGAAAAAGTGTTGTGATGCAAGTGAGTTTAGTATATTGCCCCAGTGTTTAAGCTTGCTTAGTTCTTAGGAGTCTCTGATAATGTGTTACCAGTAGGACCACTTCTTGGCTGAAGGCATCTGACAACCTCTTTAGGGTTTAGTGTGTCAGTGGCTATCTTCCTTTGTGTTCCAGTGAGAGAGGCCAGACTTCATTTTGCAGACATCTTGGTGCTGTCCATAAGTCTCCAAAAGAGGCACTATTGACTGATGCTGAGCCTGTTTTTTCTTTCTTACCTGCTCTATGCAACACTCCAAACCTGTTAACCTCTGTGAGAAACATCCCTCGCAGGCATAGCACTAGTTCAGGTTTCACTACAGATTTTCCTTTTCTTCCTCCCTTGTTTAGGTCATCCCAGTGTATGAGAGAGGGACTCGTTTTCAACCTACCACGGTGGAGATGGTGGATGGGGAGACCAGCCCGCCCCAGCTCCTCACAGAAGCTGATCTCATTGCACTCATGGACAAACATGGCATTGGTCAGTGTCTGTAGCACATGGACTGTGCTGTCGTAGCAGGGTGGCATTCATAAGCCTCTTCTTTCTTGGTTGTCTGAAGTGTAACAGTCTGTCTGTTTTGCAAAGGGGGAAGTTCCCTGCATGTAACCAGGATACTTGTATTCCCAAAGTGACTTAGAGAATAGTTAGAGAATAATCTCCAGGCAAAATGTGGAGTCCCTCTGGGACTCAAAGTGTGTCCGGTGCTCTAAACTGCACAGCTCAGTCTACATAGGACCCCATTAGGCCCATCAGTACACCCTTACAATTGGCACTGGAGTGGTGGGAGACGATGGCAGCCATTGAGCTCATCCGGCTCCCTATAAACTGTCTTCTGTTCCAGCAGCTGGTGTTGCACGAAGGGGAGCTTCCTCCTCGCAGAGTCTGTGACGGGGCTGCTCGTTCATGTGAGCATGCTCACCAGCCGCACATCTGCTTTCAGGGACTGACGCCACTCATGCCGAGCACATTGAGACCATCAAGGCACGAATGTATGTGGGGCTCACTCCAGAGCAGAGGTTCCTTCCAGGCCATCTGGGCATGGGCCTGGTAGAAGGTAAGGACAGCACTTCTCACGAGGCAGGCAGGTCCTGGCTTCATCACTTCTTCCCATTCTCAGCTAGTTACTGTTCCTCAGGTTACGATTCTATGGGCTACGAGATGTCAAAGCCTGACCTTCGAGCTGAGTTGGAGGCTGACCTGAAACTGATCTGTGAGGGGAAGAAAGACAAGTCTGTAGTGCTGAGGCAGCAGATACAGAAGTACAAGCAAGTTTTCATTGAAGCAGTGGCCAAAGCCAACAAGTGAGTGTTAGGAAAAGTCTCCTAGAACAGCAGAGCACATGGATGCTTTGGCTTCATGCCTCTGGCTTAACCTGCTATCTGAACACACCAGATGATTTTCTTGAAATTCTGCCTAAGATGCATAAGCATCTGTAGGTAAGGAATGACTTGGAGCAGGCTGCATTATCATGAACCAGTACCTTGTAACGGTCCTTCATTGGTTTAGATTAGTTCTGAATCTAATCCAGTCCATCTAAGCTGATGTCCGTCTGCACTGACTTCCATGGGTTTGCACCCCCCACTGAGGCTGCCCTGGATGCATTGTTCCTTGGTACATTCCTAAACGTGTTTACTGTAGAGTTGGAAACACAAAGGAGCTGCACTTGTGAGTGGCAGCTACTAAATAGCAGCTTCCAGCTCATGAAAAATGAGAGGAAGCAATTGCTCACTGCAGTGGAAACAAATGGGAATGTGTGTGTGTTTCTTTCTAGGCTGGACCAGGCTTTGTCTCAATACTTTGGAACAGTCAGAGAAGTGGCTCAAGGAGAGGAGCTCTACCCCGAAACACCAGCTGCCATCCGGAAATGTCCCCGGTGCAACAATGACATGGTCCTGAAGACTAGGAAGAATGGCGGGTCAGTGATCTCCACTGGTGCAGAACGCAACCCCATGTGCTGCTTTAATGTGGATTCCCCTGGCAGCTCAGTAGAGGGCAAATCATTCTCTAGCTATGCTCCCTAGCAATGCATCTCATCAGCCTGAGTCACCAATACCAAGGTGTGAAGTTACACCAGCCCGCCGCCGCCTCCTCCTTACTAAGCTCAGAAGCCAAGGTGTCTTAGGCCAGAGCTGTGTATGTCCAGATGACCCCACTCTTCCTGGAGCACACATTTGCTTTACAAATCCTTCCCTTTGTAGCAGGTGCTGGCTGAGTCCCTAGAAGGTTTGCAGCTGCGGGTAGAAGGGCTGATAAGTTCTCTGAGTCTTCTTCCTTCTGCCCTCTTTATTCCACTGCAGGTTTTACCTTGGCTGCGTGGGATATCCTGCTTGCAAAACTGCTGTCTGGTTTCCTGACTTTGTGCTGGAAGTCAGCAAGGACGACAGCGTCTGTGCTGTGTGCGAGCCCCATCCAGTTCACAGGTGAGCAGTACAAGTGAGGCACCTGACAGACACTGCTCTGTAGTACATACTGGCAGCTGGCAGAACAGTCTATGCGTGTCCTTGTACCATTCTGGCTCGGAGAGCTACTGAGGCAGTACTTGGAAGGGTGCTGCCTATAGCTATGGCCAAATAAAAGGTAGGCTTAACTGTTTTAGACTAGAAAGTTGATAGATGTAGCACATGGCTGTGGGGAGGATGGGAAGAGAGGAATAAGCAGAGATCCCTGGGGCTCCAGTACAGGTAGTGGGCTAGAGAGAACCCTGTGAGCTGAGAGAGATTTGAATTCTTCTGTCTCCTTAGGCTGAAATTTAAGCTCAGGCAAGGGAGTGCCCCTCCTCTCCTGCCCCTGGAATTTGTTGGCTGCATCGGAGGCTGCGACAAGTTGCTGAGAGACACCTTGGACCTGCAGTATTTACAAAGATTGCCCCAACCTGCATCAGAAGCTGGCCAGGCAGACAACCACCTGCAAGCCAGCCACTCCCTTAACCGAATGGCTAGTAATGAGAATGGCCACAGGAGGCCAGCCACGAACCCGCCAATTGGATTCCTAGGACCCAGGGGCACGAGGCCGCCCAGCACTGCTGCTCGCCTGGCTGTAGCTGCGGACGAGAACAATGCAGTGATGTGCAACTGCGGGCAGGCGGCAGTGCTGCTCACCGTGCGGAAGGACGGGCCCAACCAAGGCAGGCAGTTCTACAAGTGCAGTGCTAGCAGCTGCAACTTCTTCCTGTGGGCGGATCAGCCGGCCGAGGACAGGAACAGTGCAGCACCTAGGAGCTTTGCATCGCCAGCTTCCTTTGGTGAAAGGTCCCCTATAGGCTTCCACAACCCGGAAGAAGGGAGAGGCCAGGGACACGACCCGAGCAGCAGTCGAGATGCTGAAGGAGGGGGCAGCAGCGTTTGCAACTGCAACCAGCTGGCTATCACACGCACAGTCCAGAAGGATGGACCCAACAAAGGGCGGCAGTTCCACACTTGCCCAAAGCCCCGGGACCAGCAGTGTGGCTTCTTTCTGTGGGCAGACGAGAATGTGGCCCCAGGTGAGGCTGGGAGACGGTGGCTGGGGGGTTGAATTTTAAAGCAGCAGCGAAGGACAGTATAGGTCATGTGTCACACATGGGGCCCAGAAAAGGATGCCTGAAGCTACAAAATGACCAGTAGGACCAAGATAGTTTCCCTCTTTTTGAAACCTCTCAGCCTCCAAGGCAATGTGTCCCCTTCTTTTAATCACAGCGAAGTTGAAAGTCACCTTGTAACAACAGTTTACCTCAGAGCCTGGCTTAAGCAACCTCTTCTGTTAACCAGAGTTAGCGTATGGACCTGCTCCAGGTTTAATTCTAAGCTGATGCATTCATATGCCAGGACACTGCCTGCTGGGACAGTTAAGTGGGTGGGCAATGCCCAACTGCTCACCTAAAACTGGCCTCTTGCATGGGAAAGCCTTCCCAGTCAGCCGTGAGGAAGCAGAGAGAGGTATTTAGCCAGAGATGGGCAGGGCAGAAATGTACCTTAAGGCCAATTCAGAGATGCATAAGCTTTCATAAGCAACAGCTCGCTTTGCCAGATGCCATCAGATATTAGGAAGCAAAGACGAAGACACTGAGAGGGGGAGCACATCTCCCCTCTGCTGGTGCTACAGCTGCCTCTTACCCACTGGGGAGGCTGAGCTGCTGCCTCTGCATTCCCTTTCTTTTGCTGTCCTCTGTCACAGATGGTGATTGTACAAAGGGGAGTTGATTTCATCATGTTCCTCCTACAGTGCTGTCAGATCACAAGGCCTGGGGCCCTGAAGTGGGCACTGCCTGACCATTATTGGTCATTGCCAGTTATAATAAATACAGGATTGTCGGAGGGGATGTGAGGGCCCCGCTTAAATATGCAGCAGCTTTCTCCTGGCAGAAGGGACTCATGAGCTGGCATTTCTAGCAAACTGGTAGGGGAGTAAAATGACTACAGCTGTTTTTAAAACTCAGGCTTTACCATTGACAAGGGCTGGCTTAGGGCGGGCGCAGCCTAGAGCAGAGGGTGGTCTCAGTGGGGCCCAGCCGACCCTATTTTTCTATAACTTTTGAGGCTCCCATTTTGGATATAGACTAGCTCAGTGGTTCCCAAACTCTGACAGACTGTGCACTACCAATTTAAAATGATACAATCTTAAGTACCACCAGCAAATTTTTGTCATATAAAGAAACTATAATAAATCTGTTAACGCATACCACAGATTGGGAACCACTGGACTAGAGCATGTTAACAAGGGGGTGGGGGGCAGCTTCTTGTTTGGATCTCCTGCCCCAGCACAGCTAGCCATGGGACAGAAGCAGCTTTGGATTCAAGGACAATTTGAATAATGAGGATAATAAACATCTGACCCGCACCCCTAGTTTGAACCCAGGCTTCCTAACTGCATCTGTCCTTGACTCCCACGGCTGCTGCCTTGGGGTGTGTATAAAGTGCACAGATACAATACAAATGGTGTTTTAATTTGTACAGGGGCATCTGCGGACGTTTCTTCAAACCATTTTAGGGACCAGGGGTTCCCAAGAGGAGCAGGAAGCAAAGCTAAAAGGCCAGATAATTTCTCCTCGAAGGGGCCAACCGTGAAGAGACCACGGACTTGTGGGATTTGCCACCAGCCTGGTCACACCAGGAAGACTTGTCCCCAGAACCACTGAGGGAAGCAGAACACCCTTACAGAAACAAACTGAAAACTCTGGAGTCCTGGGGTACGTCAGTAACGGGGAAATGGATTTTAAAATCCAGTGTGCAGCAGAGATTCCTCAGGTGCCTGCCTTCCTGGAAATGCTGGCTAAGAAATCTGCCTGTTGCTGATGACAGAGCATACTCCACGCACCACAAACTGCTGGAGGCTTCATTTGGCTCCAGTTGAAAGGTGGACTCACTTCTGAAGGAGGCTCAGCTACTACTGCTATTGCCTGATTTCAGCTGCTGTCTCTTGGATGATTTATGGGAGAGTTTGTCTTGGGCACTATATTTACAGACACAAGATGATGGGTCTGTTCCTAATCAGCTTTGGACAAGATGCTATAGTGTTGGCTGCTCTCCGGAAGAGCAGAAAAGGACTCTGAGCAGCTAACTTAAGAGTTGACTGCCATTGAACAGTAGCCATTGTGTTTGGGGGGGAAGGAGAACATCAAGGTTAGTAAAAGACTAAAAATCTGTCTTTCAGGGTGATGGAGTAGTCAGGTTGATGGTGCCTACAGTGCCAGCTTCACATAATCCTCACCATGGGATGTCATGCGTTCAATTACCCTTCAGTGATAATATCACACAAGATGGGAAAAGGCTACACTGACTGGTCTACTCTACTGTTTCCAGCTCTGTTCCTTGCCTCTGAAGGGGAAGAGCTGCAAGTAAAGCCAGTCCTGGCTCTGTCTTCCAAAGGCAAAGCTCCATGTAAAGCGCCTGGAAGTGAGCTGTGATCCACTTCTACTCGAGCTGTCAGAGGAAGGAGATGGAGCTGCTGGTTCACACAGTTCATTCTGGTCAGGTCACCATGCTTTTGATTAAAAGGAGAATTTATTTTAACTTGCCTCTGTGGTAAGGTTTTAGCAATGGGTGGCAAGAGACTGTCTCCACCTCATGCGTTAACAAATCTGACAAACTTAGTAAGGGAGTTCTGAGCAGCCAGTGCAGACGGAGCTGTTTCCATTCCCTCATTCTCAGGAACGTGGCTGCTGTCTGGCAGCCGGCCCAAGCAGCTTTATTTAGAACTGATCTGCAAAGGTGGGGGAGGAATGGGGAGAAAGGAAAGGGGCCTGAGCCTGAGCTTTACTTCTTACTTACTGCATATGGTGCCTGGTCTTGCTCCAGACTAGAGAACCAGTTAAGGGACACTGCAGGTGCCTGAAATGGAAGGGGCAGGATTCTCAGGCAGGCTGTTCAACCCCCTATTTTCTCCAGACTGGTGGACTGAAGTTCTAGCTCTGGTGTTGGAACTGGTAAGTGGGACTGGCTCTTTCTATTCAGGCCTTTCTACAGAATAAAATAAAAACAAACACACAACCTTCATTTCAGCTCTTCCCTCAAGTTGAATGCAACTGCTTTCCTGCAGGTCTGGAAGAAGCCAGCCCCTCCATAGCAGAGTTAATGGAGATACTGCTACCAGTGTCCAGAAATACTACATAACTTTCTAAATATAAAAAGCAATTCCTTTGTCAGTCTGAGGGCAAAGGGTCAGCAGCCAGAAGAGGGGGAGGGAGGGGGAAATGAGAGCAGAGATGTATAAGCCTCCAGTCATTCACTCCAACAGACATATAATCCTGGTTTCACTAGAGTATGCGAGGAGCAACTCTGAAGTCAGTGGAGCTACAAGACTTGCTTCCATCTTCTTTCCAGACAATCAGTCCTGTTTTAAATATACCCAAGGGCCAGGGAAGGGAGGAAAAAAAGGATCTGTCCTTATACTGAATTCTGGCAGCTTCCCCACCTTCAAATAACTTTGCAGTGATTCTACTGGTATTGAGCTTAAGTTGCACAGAATGAGGTCAGCAGGGAAACCACATGTACCATTTTACTCCCTTCTTCCCTCACTCCCACTGCTACAAGCAAATGTAGCCTAAAAATAAACCTCAGACCTGCTGGCTAGAGCAACCGGATTAAAAAAGCTTTGTGAAGCTGGCTGGATACCAGGGCAGAACTTGTCAGCACTATTACAGCTGCAGCAATACTGTCTGCAGCCTATGCCACAGGCAGAAGAAAGCTGCCTGGCCAGCAAGCAGTATGGTGAATGTGTGTTAGCATAGGCTGTTCCCAGTTGCGTGGCCTGAGAGGAAGTGGGGTTTGAGGGTGGGTGGCATTTGGGCACCTGAAGTGATTTTCCAAGCACTTGGCTAAAAAAGTAGGCCATGCGAGTTAAGAATATAAAACATCCAGCTGCCTTGTGCTCGGTGGGAACTAGAATGAAGGGTCCTGACCATAACCCTGTTCTGTGCCACTTCTACAAGCAGAAGTTTACGTGCGAGGGAAGACAGCAGCTCACCATAACTTGTGCTTGTGTGCATCACTTGAGGAGCAGAAGGCACTCATTCCTCCAGTAATACAAGTATCACTATCGGGATACATACAATGCTGCTACTCGACACAAGTGACCCCGTTAGACAGTGAGGCTTTATTCTCATTGCTAAAGAATCGCACTTGAGAATTGCTTTTGTTCTTATAGATCAAGTCATCTTCAGATCACAGGAAATTCAGATGCAGAGAGGTTTCCCCTCCTCCTTCCCAAACAAACAAAAAAATCTCTCTGCAGGGAAAACCAAGTCACAGTACATACGTTCAGAGTTAGCAGGAGTAATGCCCCCTTGCCACACTGAAAAACTGGCACGATTCTGAAGTCACAGAAATAATGTCCTAGTACTTGGAACAGAGCCAGGACCAAAATAAGCCTATTAGCAGCCACTCGAAAAAGCAACTTATTCTTAAAATAAAGACAAGCAGAAATCACTCCAGGTCTCGCCAACAGCAAGCCTTCCAATTTAATGCGCTGTCCCCCAGCCTGCCCACCGCTGCTTTTCAAGGCAGGCAGGCTGTGGGGCCAGGCTCTAAATAGCAGCAGCGTATGTATAAAAGAGCGTTGTCTGAAAAACTGAGAGGCACGGTCAAGACGGTGTGTTCTGACGCAGCACAGAATTGGGGCCCAAATCTGGGAGCGAGAGCCCTGTCCTGTTTGACAGAGTAGATGGAAAATAGCAACCTGCCAAGCCTGCAGTACTTCCAAAGCTGGAGCAGGATTCAGTCCCACCTATTCTGAAAGACCTTGTGGGAACCTCCTTGCTCTTCCTCAACAGCCATAACCCATCCTACTACTGGGTTTGTAGCAGACAAGCATGTTAGGGAAGGGTGTTTCAACATAAGGCTTGACGTTATGGCACAGAATACATAGCATTAAAACACTCTCCTCCAAACGAGCTAAACATTAACAGAACAAGCAACTGGATTTAAGCTCATTTTGTTTGGCAGCTGTATTAACATTGAAGGTGCTTCAGCAAATAATATTGCATTTGGATTTGCTGTGGCAATATCTATCTGGTAATGCATATTCAGTTACTACCTATTCTCCATCAAGTCCTTTTCAGAATGACAATGTGCTGGGCTTGCAGCTTTGCTTAGGGAAATTTGCTTATGGAAAGAGGGTTCTAACCCCTGCTCCCTCACCCACAAATATACATTTGAAGTCTGGCACTTCAAGAGTGAATTTAGTGCTGGTGAGAGCTGCCCAGACAGCCCTGGAGCCTGTACTCCAGCTTACGCACAGCCAAGCTGCATCATTCAAGCCCTGGCAACGTACAGCTTCTTGCACGCTCACCGGCAAACGTTCTAGTCTGGGGAACTGCCTCTAGGAATGAGAAGTTTGGCATCCAGGCCCATGGTGCTATGGAAGGTACCTTGCTGTGATAGGGGTTGGCACAGATACTAGTTCAACAGGAACTGAACAAAGACCAAACTCATTTCACAGATGCCCCAGTCATCAAATGGATGGCATCAGGCTCCTAATTACTGTAGACACAGGCTGGATTTGAACTGGGAGACCTGGAGCTGATGGGCTCAATGTCTGATCCCCCCCATCCCTTCACTCAGGCACATTTTGTTCAGGAAGTGCCTGCTTCTCTTTCATTAAGCGCAAGGCCTCAGCTACAAAAGTTAGACACTTTGGCAATCCACTTAGCTCGGAGAAGTGGATAAAGACGTGCAAAACCTACGCTCGGGAACTCCCAGCCTCGCAGTTCATTTACAAGCGCTTTCC